GTGACAGGCATTGGTTTGCTTTCTGACACAAAATAGATACAGGTTTCTCACACCTAATTTTTACTTTCTATACTTTTCTTTCCTGTATTGCAAACTCAATCCCAGGGAGCGTGATCCAGGCCATAGCAGGACTGCACCTGGGCCCAGGCCTCTACTGTGCTCTTCTCTGTTCCTGGTGCAGCCAGTGCTCAACAGGAGCTGTAAATCCCTTGTGAATTTGTACCACAGCTCTATGGAGGTAACTCAAAACGGGGCCCACCATTGTTTGTACACCGTTCCTCAGTCCCCTGCCCTTCCTGCTGTCTTTCCGAACGAGACCCACATGGGAGGCTTTCAACTTCGTGTGTCACACCCAGAGATGGGATCAAATGTCTGTTGTTTGCCTTTTTCAGCCTGTGTTGCATTCACAGACCGTGAGGAGTCTGTGTTCCACCAGGGCCGTGAGAACCGTTGCCAGGTTTGGTCTTGGTGGACCAATTTTCATTTTCACTGCTATTATCAGAGTGAAAAACAATCCTTTTAGATGCCAAACCTGACCCTCACTCGGATTGCTACTAGGCTTGGCAAACTTTCCATGGATCTCATGTTCTGACTTAATTCCAGCATTCCCCAGCGCCTCAGTTATTCCTTAGAAAAATATGTTCTGTTTGAAATTAAACACTGGCCATAGTGGTGTGCATTTGTGCAGGTTTCACCCCAAAACCTCCCAGTGGACGTGTTCCTGACATGTATCCAGGCTGGAGTCCTCGTGGGATGATGTGACCGGTGGTACTTCCCCCTGTTCTGCACACCCTCAGCAGCTCCTGCCTTGGTGCAGTTGTTGGGGCTGGAACCCAGCAGGGAAGTGAGACAGTGCAGTGCTTAGGAAGAGGAAGCAGGAATCTTATGGAAAAGCAGAGTGGTGAGCCCGAGGGTGACCTCTCCTTCCCCTCTCTGTATGAGAAGTGCAAGATGATTATTGGCAGTTAGATGTGATGAGAACCAGTGTCATCTCACCCCAGGTCAGCCATCTCCTCCCCTCTTCCATAGGATGTACAGCTGGTTTAAGCACTGCTTAAAATCAAAATCCTTAAGTTTCGTGATCCTCCACCAAGTCCAATCAGCTGCAAGTTGAAGGTTTGTTGGGAATGTGACCTTTAGGAAGTAAAGAAATAAAACATTCTGTTAATAGTAGCTACTGCTAGGCTGGTCTTTATTTCTTCCTATTGATTTCTCTTGGGTATACAAGCAAAATGGCTTTTATTTTATAAATAGTAAATTCTTTGTCAGCTTTCAACTATCAAAAATACGTTTCTTTGATGCAAACTGCTTTTATGTTTAAGGTGATTGATGCATCTGTTTATTCTGAGACTGACACCAGCTTGAGGTAGAACACGAAGAGGTTTGTAGCAAATTATTCCTTTCTTCTCAGAATGACGCTCATCGCATAAAACACTCCTGCTCTCAGCTGTACCATGTGCAGGCACTGGCAGGACACAAAGAAAAAGTACTGTTTGCTTTATGTGGAAACTTTGCTACTCTGGGGATCAGCTGGAGTAAAGCTGGAAAATATGATAATTATGTTTTCCTAGCCCAGTGCAAACTAGGCCAGCCCAGGTGGCACCACGAGCCGTGCACGGTGCCCAGTAGCACACAGTGCCAAATGGTGTGGAGCTGCAGCTGGAAGTGTCAGGAGATTGGGGGCAGAGCTCATTCCTGCTCCACTGGCGTGCCCGTGGTCTGTCCACACGCCAGTGCCTTTTGTGTGGGATCGGTGATGGAGCTGGGGCTGAGCTGGGAGCTGGTGAGGACCTTCAACAATGCTTGACAATCGCACATGGCGGGAGAGAAATGGAGTGTCAGTTAATACAAATACCTTGTTTCACTGCTACGTGAGAAACTGAGCACCAAACCGATTAGTAATTTGCCACAAAGCCCCAGAATGACATTTGGAGACCTGGCATCTTGCTGTTCTTTACACAGGAAAAGGTCCCAGCAAGGTGGGACCAGCACCTCTTCCGATACACCAAGTCTTGGGGGTTTTTGCTGCGCTTGAGAGGGATTTTATTTAGACTGCAGGTTTGTTATCAAAATTATTGCAAACACGCAGGCTGTCTGCAGTCCTGCTTTTCTCAGGCATTCTTCCTGTCGGTCCTGGAGAATCAGGAGCTGGGATGGCAGATGAGATCGAAGTGTTGTCTACCCCTCGTGAGTGTGTTCGCAGACCCAGCACCTCCTCGTGGCTTTGGGCTATTAGCAAAGGGGCTCTCTGGAGCACTGCTGTCACACGTCCTGTACGGCAAGCTCGGTAAGGTTTACAGCCTCATCCTCTCTGAAAATGGCTTTCCCTCAGCTTAGATAGTATTTCCTCTTGGATTCTCACTTGAGAAGGCTTTTAGCATAAAGAGAAATTAATCATCTTTTCTGCCCCGTTGCTGGAGCAAATCTAGTAGGAAGTTAGATCCTTAGAAAAAGGTTTTGTGGGATGGTGTTCAAACCTGCTCAGATTAGTTGTTTGATTTGTCAAGGTTTTATAATTTCTACAGAGCCTTACTAAATCCAATGAACAACATTTTGCTTTCATTCCTCCTAGACTGCATAGGTCAAAAAGTTCCTATTGTGCTTAAGGGTAAAATGAGTTGATCTGTTGGAACTTCTGCACTTAACAGGAAATTTCCATTGATTTTGGCCTTTCAAGGCAACAGACTGTGAGAGAATTAGACAAATTAGACCAGAATTTGACAAAAATACTGATATTGGTTAGTTTAAGGAACACATTTTCAGATTTTTAGCATTTTTTTTGCACATTTTATTTAGATTATCTACATTTTGCTATTGGTAAGAAGTCTGTTTCAATAAAAAGTTGTTTAAAAATAGCTCTAGTAGATAAAGCAGGAATATCCAATGTCAGGTGAGTGAGGGCAGAGTTTGCATCCCGTTGTCTTTCCGTGTTTTGGTGATGGGCACGCCTAAAATCATGTGGATTGAAGCGGGCTTTGGACCTGTTCCGTGCTGTTTGGCTGAGAGAGGGGATTGAAATACTTGGGGTTCCACCTGAGGCAGAGCAGGACTGTGCTGCCTGGAGATTAAAACATACCCAGGAGGCACAAGGTGAAAAAAATAGACTGATCATGAAAAAATAGACTGATCAGGTCTTCACCTTGTTTTCTCAATGCATTCGTCCCTCTGCACCCTCCCCAGCAGTGACACTGGAACATTCCTTTAGCTATTCCATGAGGCAGAATCTGCTTTCCAAAGTGTTGGAATGTGCAGTCGATCCAGACATCTGATGGCTGGAAAAAAAGCAGGGGCACTGTGTGATTTTTTTATTTAAATCCCAATGCTCTGGGTCTGTGGCCTCAAAACCATTTGTAGTCCCTGCAATGAGCAGATAATTTGTAATTAATGAAAGATATTAATGCAAATTCCAGTAAAATGAGCACATATAAAATTCTTGTGAAACACTGAAGTGAAAACCCTTTCCCTTGTGCTCTTGGAGCGTGTCAGCCATCCAGGGATTCATATGACATAATATAATATGTTGACACAATGAAACCTAGCAATTAAAAGAGGATTAAAGATACTCTGCTTGAAGACTGAAACATTCTGCTTTGGTTTTTTTGGTTAACAGATAGTTCTAAGATTTCAGGGTTAATTCTAAATGTCGTGTTTTGCCACTATTCATTGATGGTTGCTAATAGCTAAGTTGAAAAAAAAAAATAGAAAAAGAGAACAAAAGAGGTTTCAGATATCTCAGTACACTCCAGGAAAGCCTGCCAAATCTCCAGAAAACTGAACTCAGTAACTGAAGCTATTAAAATCAAAACTCTTTATAGAACTTCCATTTTATTGCGCTTTCATCCTAAGGTATTTAATAGAAAATGATTCACGTAGGATGTTGTACACTTGCCAGGCTTGATCTGCAAGGTCACTGTGTGAGTACAGCGATTTCACAGCAGACCCCGCTGTATGGAGCAGCAGTGCTTCCCCCTGGAACATTCACCAGGCTCTCAGGAAGGGGCAGCCTGTAGGTCTGGGTGATGGTGTGTTCTCTTCCCTGCCCACATCAGAAGAACTGTGGGCTCTCACACTGCTGTTCCTCACAGCACACAATCTGGGGGAAGGTAATAAATACAAGGGCAGATGGAGTGGTGTGCCACACGTTTTTTTAATAGTGGTGAAACAAAGAGAATGAAACACTTTTGGAAAACATTGCTCTTGGTGCTTCAAGTAACTCTTTCCTTTTTTGGGAGAAGGGTGTGAGACAGGAAAGGCAACAGCCTCTGTAGGTACAGTAAGTTTTGCCCACTATCAGTTCTCTCTGCAAGTTAAAGGTAAAGCAATAAGAATTGTTCTGTAATAAATCCCAAAACAGCAGTGTGAGAATGAAATGGTAACCGAGAGGGAGAGGGTGAGTGATCAGAGCGTTGGAGAGACACTCCATATTCTCAGGTTCTCTCCTCTGTCCTGGTGCGTCAGGATTTTGCAGTTAACTGTTTGAAAAGAGGCAAAAGTTATTTCCCAGAAGTGGATCTTTCTCCCCACTAACACTGGGATGATATTTGTTTCATACTGCAGTGAGCACGGTAGGAAATGTAAATGTTTAAAGTTTTGCTGTCTCATCATTCATAAGAGAGACACCCCAGTCCCCCTCCCTTCCTAAAAAACGCCTCTGCGCGTGTTGCAGCATCTCCTGTATCCCTCTGTAAGCAGAGCCAGAGCTCTAACTGCTGTTAACTGGTAGTTTGGAAGTCTAGTTGCTCAGTGATGTGTCTTTCTGTTACTGCTCCAGAGTGTTCAAGGCATGGGGTTTTAAATAAGTAACTTTTCTGTGTTAGTGTGAAAAACTAAAACATAAATTTAAATAACAAGATTCTGACACTTGCTGTTCTTCAAAGTAAAAAACCTTGTGTTTTTTCTTAACTTCATTCTCCTTGTCCTGTGCCCATTATCTTTGACTTAATCATCAGGAAAAGTTTCCCTAATCAGCTTTGCTTTACCTTAACTGGGAAATTTGTTTCAGTTTACAGGGGTTATGTGCTGCCTGGTGAAGTTCATGTCTGAGCAACCCCTCTTCTGAAGGAAACTCCAAAAAAACAGGTGGGTGTGACACCATTGATTTGGATGGGCTTGGAACAACCTCGTCTAGTGGAAGGTGTTCCTTCCCATGGCATGGATGAGCTTTCAGGTCCCTTCCAACCCAAACCATTCCAAGCCTGTGATTATTTTTAAATATTCCCTGTCCATTGCCCACTACCTTTCTTACATGCTTTGAAACACCATTGGTGTGTAACCAACTCCACACTGGGTGACAATTCCAGTCTTCAGGACAATCCCAGGGTGCAAAAAAGTCCAGAGGAGGCTGCAGGTGTCCTGGGGCACCACTAAATTACCCTTGTCTCCACGGGCTGTTTGTCCTCTGGGAGTGCAGGGAGGAGCGGGAAGCTGAGGAGTTTTGATTTAAATGTCAGATTGTTTTCAAGCGCTGTGTGTGCAGTATGTAGGTCAGGGCTGAAGGGATAGACTGGCTCTGCAGAGGTGCTGAGAATGATTAATTTCCCTGGGCAGAATTCTCCAGGGTTTTTTTTTCCTTCACTGCATGCTCAAGTCAAGCTGCAGTTTCTCATGGGTTCAGGTTTTGGACCATCTGCCTAAAGGGGAAATTTATCCTGGCAGCTGCTGAAAGGGAAAATCTTGTGGGTTGGTATCAGTTGGTGCAATAAAAAAACGATTTATTTTTTTTTCCTGCACATTGGGAAGCTTTTCAAGGATGGTTTGTTTATGTTGCTGCTGTGTTCTCTGCCCACTTGCATCAGTGAGAGGTGACTTTTGGGTGCTTTCCAGCAGCTGCCAGGCACCACTGAAGGTGCAGACAGGCTCCTTTCACTGCCTGAGCAGCGGTACCTAATTTCCTGTGGAAAACTGCGCCCTTTTGGTCCTCAGCCCTTTGTCTGATGCCCAGCTCCAGAGTCTGTATTGCCAGACCAGAGATGCTAATGGGGTACTATTGTTTTAAACACAATAAAATCCAGCCTCAATGAATACTTAGGGAAGACTTAAAATCTCACTAACTCTTCCTTCAGAGGAGCACAAGCCTTGTTCTTCTTCTTCCCCTTTATTCCCAAGCAGCCTGAACTTCTGTCTCCAGCAAAATATACGAAAATTGTCTGATTAGTAGTTTTAAATGTCTGTAGAGAAAAGTCTGAGAAAACTGCTTGATGTTCTAAAATACTAACTTTAGGTATTCTAAACTATTAGCATCGAGTAGCAGTTTATTGTTTCTTTTTTGCCGCTTTGGTGTTCACGTATGCAGGAATGGATTTTTCAAACTGTTTCTGTGATTGTTGCACAGCCCGTCTTCTCGTGCTTTACAGATTAATAGCTGTCCTGAAGTTGTCCAGAGGAACATGTCTCCAGGGCTTGGGTTTTATTGGGATTGCAGGATGCCTGAGCACAAGCCCTGCCTTCCCCCCTGCTCACTCTTTATATTGTCACACACTCAGGAGTCCCTGAGAGATGAGAAGCAGGTGGAGGGATTATGCATAGGGATAGATATTGAATGTGTTCTGTGCTGCAAAGACAGTTTAAATATATAATAACAATATTTAAATAATATATATAAATAAGATAGTCATAATATTTAAAGAAATAATATTTAAATTGGCTCAATAATTATTTCAGCCATATTTTCTAACACAGCTTGGCAAGTTCCTCCAGCACTTCTGGTATAGGTGCACGTGTAACTTGTACATACCCTCGGAGCAGAGCTTCATCATTTGAAAGAAGACTTGCAAACGGTACTATTTACTGAAATGGATTTATTTCTTGCCTCTGCAGTTTGTTTCTGGCAGCTGCCCCTTTCTGAAGTTGTGCCTTCTGGGTCAGAGATGAAAGGAGCTGGTTGTAACCCTGTGCAACTGAAACCCTTTTTCCGAAGGTACAGTAAAATTTTAGCTGTTGAAATGCAGTTTTGCCTGCTCAGTAAAGCCTATGAATTCATATTTTTGCAGCAAAGAGAATACTTGGATTCTGTGCTGCTGGATTTCTGAGACATCCAAGTCAAAAACACTTTCTTTTCATTTTGATCTCTTTTTCATGAATCATGGAAAAAACCCTATGATTTGGGATTCTGTTTGTGTATAAGTGTATAATTTCCAAATAATTTCTTCCAATCCAGTAGAATCCTGTTATATGGGGAAAAAACACTGCTAAGGTTACTTAGAGAGGTTTTGCACTGAGGACTGCCAGCTTTTCTCACACCTACCTTGAGAAGATTGTCACTCTGCTGGCAGCTCTTGGGGTCTGAAATATTTTCAGTATTTATGGTGCAAAATGGCATCACAGTGTTAAGATAAATTCCTCAATCCTGAAGCAGAGCTTGGAAGTGAAGTGACAGGAAAAAACACTGGGAAGTAGATGAGTTTTGTATGTTTTTTGTCACCACTCAGATCACACCCAAATCTGAGGGCTTTCTCATTTTCAAGCAGAATTTTCAATTCTGCAATACCCTTTCAAAATTCCAGATTTCAGCTGAAACTCAAACTATTAAACCAGTATGAAAGAATCCGTGCTGGAGAGATTTCCTGCCAACATGAAACACAGTCAGTACCGGGATTTTCATTTGAAAAATCTGATCTTGCAGAACTGCTCTGTGTGTTTCCAGGCCATTGCAGTCCGGGCAATCTAAGATAAGCAACTAAACTCCACGGATTTCTTGCAGCTAAATCTGACTTGCAGGGACTCACACCACAGGCAAACCTCCCATGTCAGAGGCTTGTAGGGACAAAAAGCCACCACTCTCAAAGTTGTTTAAAAGCATTTCATCTGGTTTTAAATAATTTGTTTTTTTCAGTTAAGAACAACAATTGTTTTTTCTATTTTTTTGGGTGGAGCAATTTTGTTGTTTTTAGTAGTATCTGTACATGAATTTAACTGTTATAAATTAAGATTTTTATTTTTTTTTTGTAGAAACCACAAAAAATTTATTAATTTTCGAGATTTCAGTAGAGATTTCAGAATTTCTGGGACTATATTCAGAAATGTAATACTGGTCCATTTTCCTGGATTTGAGTCTCTTCCTACCAAGCTATAAGGAAAAGAATTCTGGCAGGAAGTGTAGACCTGTCCATTTTCCAGGGGCACTGAGGAGCTGTGGATGTTTAATCACTTTGATTGCATCAAAGTCTGAGTGCACATTTTCAGGGAGGAATTCCTTTTTCTCAGAAGTGACTGGCACTCCCAAAAAATGTCCATTCCCTCCCCATTTTTAGAAGATGACTTTGAAAGGCAGCATTGTGATAATCCTTTTAGATCTGCTGTTTTGTTGACAGAGGTAAGAGTGGTCATGGATCTCACAACTGGAGAGAGGAAAGGCCTCCAGGAATGGCATATGATGTGTTGGCTGCTTCCTTACGGAATTATCAGGAGAAAAACGAAGGAGGGCCCTTCTTCTGGTGTGTGAGGGGGTCTTCTCCTTCCATACCCACTCTCTGGAGTTTCTGGGAAGGGGCAGAAGTGTGGAGGCATGGCTAGCAGACCTGAGGAGAATTGGTTGAACTTGCGGACTTCTCCAATCTCCCTTAGTCCATCTGTACAGTGAAGCATTTTATGATTATATTTGCCAAGCTTTTGGGTTTAGAAGGGAACACCATGACTTGGAATGTCCCAGTTTTAGGGAGGTGAGTGGCTCTACAGGTGTGCTAGCATTTTTTTTTTTTTTTTTTTTTGTATGCCAGCAACTCTAACAGTAAATCAAACCAATTTGCATCTGACTGCTCTCTTGCTCTGAGATCAGAAGACATTGCTTGAAATGCCCCTTGAAGAGCTGCATCCAGACAAACCAAGGATTTATGTTGTGCTGCTGCTTGGGGAATCTCTGCAAAACCTCACCTGGCAGGGCAGGTCCTGCTCTGAGTCCCTTGTTTGCTTGAGTCTTTTGAAGTTAGTCACAGGAAGAAGGAAAAATTGTAGTTTATTATGCCCACATAAGTCTAAGAAATGACTGATTTAATAGTGCCTAATTTTTATGCTAATTTTACAAAAATATATCAGAGCTTTGAGAGTTCAGTTCTTGACTCTAAATTTGATTAACCATTTTTCTCACTCCTTGCCACACAGGAATAGAGAGAATCCTGATTATTTCATCTGAACTGCCACGTTGTAAATTAAGTCCGCCTTCTACAGGGAATCCACATCCTAAGTTCCCTCTGTGTGAAATACATTTTTCTTAGGAAATAAATGTTTTTTTTTAATTCTTGTCCTCTTCAGTGAGGGCCCAGACAGTCATCAATGCTGCAGTGAAGGTATGTGAGCACCCTGAGCTAGCTCAAAGGCAGGGCATGGCAGTTCTGCCAGGGCTAGTATGGAGTGATAGATTCAGAAATGTGCTGGTGAACATGGGAAATCCTGCAAATCGTGAGCTTACTGAGTCCAACAGGTATTAAGTATTTATTTTGCATTTTTCACTTTAAAAGAAGAAAAAAATGAGCATGAAAGAACTCTCATTCTGAATTATGGATCTCATAGTCCTCAAAAGAGTAACCACTTGAGTTTAGCCAGTGAAAAATTAATATTTCCTGCTAAGGATTGTATTCTTGAGATACTCATCAGTGCGTGCAAGAGTATTACATCACTGTCCTCTGGGAGTATCCATTTCCATCTTTTTCCATCCCACTCTGTAAAACACTCTGTGAGAATGAAACGACTCCCCGAATGAATTCTCATTTTCTTTGACCTCTTCCCTGCTGAGGAACCCTATAAACACAGAACAGAATTAAGTAGCACAGAGGAAACGAAGCTATACTTTAATATTAAAAATACCATTAAGGCTTCTGCTTCTGGGGATGTTTATTCCCAGTCTGGAGAGTGGCACTGCTTTTCAGAGGGACCATGTCCCAGGTTTCCATAGGTGTGCCATATGAGTGATTATCCCTATTGGCTGGAATCTTCATTTTGGAAAGAAAACCTATTCAGAGCCTGCTGAAAGGAGATGGGGCATGGTCAGGAATGATGGTTCCTCCATACAGTTTGCAGTGCCTTGATGGATCCTCTGATGGATTTGTGCCTGGTCCAGGACAGCAGCAGCAAAGCAGGGATTGATGTTTCACATCTGTAGGAACTGCTGCTGGGTTTGCTTAGAGCCAGACTGCTTGACATCACAGAATCCTAAAATCATTTGGGGTGGGAGGGATCTTAGAGCCTGCCTCATCCCAAAACCCTGCCATGGGCAGGGGGGGACACCTTCAGCTAGACCGCGATGCTCCAAGTCAGAAAGAGCTTGAGGCATGGGTTTGCTTGGACTTTGGGACTTCCAACATGAAACTAGTGGCATTGCCATGGCATTTCACTCATGTTCTGCACTGCTGGGACAAAAATGTCACCTCATGAAGAGCAGATGTTAATGCTATTAGGGTGCCCCTTTTCACTGTGTTAGCATTCAGGATGTTCCTATGGCTGGAGTCAGATAATGGCTTTTTTGTTGCTTTAAAATCTATAAACACTGGCCTTTAACCAAACCTTACAGCAAAAATGTTTCTGTACTGGATGAAGAGGGCAGTGAGTCAGGCTCTTTGTCTACTTTTGGAAGTATGATTGGAATATGAGAGTAAGTTGTTCCTGTTGGCGTCTGAATGCAGATAGGACGGGAATGTGGGAGGTCTGATGGTGAGTGGGACCCCACCTGTGGCAGGACTGTGGGAAAAACCTGGTTTCTGCTCTTCCATTTTTACAACACCGTGTTCCACATGGAAAGATAGCTGTTATGTACAGGGATTCAAAGAGAAGCTGCCAAGGCCCATCCCTTCTGCAGTGGCCTGGATTTTGCTGCAGAGATACAACAAATCCCAGAACCTGTTGAATGATGTGTGGCCAGTTTTAGCTTATCTTTAATCCAGTTTACAGACACTCCACAAGAAAGTATATTCATGCTGGCCTGGACATTCCAGCTGCTCCATGGAAAATGTAATTCTAAGGCTTATGGCAGATTTTAAGCCATTTTATGTTTGTTACAGGTATTTTATCGAGCTGTAATGTAGGAATTGACTCAGGATTAAATTTATTCAGTCAGAAATCATGAATCTGGAAATTGCTGGTGAGCAAGATTTCTAACAACTCCTGGTTTTAACAGCTGTGGAAGCATAAGAGGAGTAGCCTTCCTGGTTTCCTGCCTTCCTTCAGTGTTCAAAGGGGCTTTTTTTTAATTTTAGTTTAGCTTTTCAGGAGAATACAAACTCCAGTTCTTAATTCATTTGAACTTTATGTACATCCTTAGAGTCTGTTCCGTTGGAGAAAGCTTGGAGGGCTTTGATTCATACAGCGTGTCTTTTATCCCTCTTTTTAAGCTGATACAGGAGCAGTGCTGAATAATGCTAAATTCAGTGTTGATGTGGCAGGCTGCAAAGGTCCCTCTGAACCTGCATTATTTCCAGAACAAGATGTTCTCTGTGGGGGTAGGTGTGAGCAGAGCCAGGGGCACAGCACCAGTACAAAAAAGAAGGTAGAGTCTGTCCCAAAAGACTTGAGAGCAGCTGCCTATGGAAGCTGTCCTGGCTCAGGACAAGTGGATAAGCATGAGGAGCCTAAGAAAACTAGGCCTTGTTTCCTTAGGAAAGTTTGTTTAACTAATAGACTTAATTTGCCAATGGTTTTTCTTTAAATTAGAATTTACAATCCCTTGCCTGATTGCTTCAAGATGTACTTTTTTTTTTTCTCTCAAGGACTGTTAAATCCCAGGGGAATCCCTTTAAACATCTCTTCTGGCTTCTCTGGAGATACTGAGGGGTGGCTGCTGTGATACTGTAATTAGATGTGGCTCCTTGATTAACCAGGATTCTTGTGTCCACCTGGTGACACCTTTTAATGGGAGCAGATAAGTACATCCCATAAGTGAAATAACTGCATCTGTCAAAATGCTGAAATGGAATTCAGGGCTTGTTTTATTTATATATGACTTTTATTTTATCCATGTAATTATCTAAGCTCTTTAGTGTCTAATCTTGGAAAGTTATCACGGGGTGAGTTCATGGTTTGGTGTGAGTACAAGTACAATGATAGATGTGCTTCCAGTGAAAATTATTTTACCTCATGAAGGATAAAATTCCCAACATTCAGTACTGATCTATTACTACTCTTATCAAAGTTGCCACAGATTTGAGAGATGGTTCTTGTAAACTTGTGTGTCCTTGTGTATTATTTCTTCCTCATTCTTTAGCAAAAAATGTTCTGGCCCTTTGGTTAAATGCATGGACCTGCTGGTGTGTAAAACAGCAGCCTGGCTTTAGCAGACCAAGCTGCTGATGGAACTGAAAGGAAAAATATTTCAAGTCCTGGACAATTAAAAATGAGAGCTGGAGGTAACAGCTTGTCTCTGGGTGGACAGGCCAAGTCTCAGACCCCTCAGTTCCTGTGGCTCAGACTATAGATTGATCTATATGTGTCTGTTCTTGGATTTCAGGTCTGGACCTGAGTCAACTGAACTTCTCCAGTGTGTGGTGATCATTGAATTGGACTTGGAGACATGAGAAAAGGTGCTGGAAAACTTGGAGCTGGCTCTGAATTGCCATTCAAGCAATTTGTGTAAAAAAAGGCTGCCAGGTATTCACACTTGACATATCATCACTTTTTTGCTGGGCTGAAGGGGTGGATTCCAGGGAAGTACCAGATTATCTCTGCTAATGCCAGTGGCCAATTTCCAGTATAAAGAAAGAAAAATAATACTGCAGCCTTACTTCATTGCGATGGTGCTTGTGACAGGGCTGGTGACACCCCAGGAGTTAGCTGGTGACTTTCTTTCCTGTTGAAGATGCCACTTAGGATTGAGTTTGGGAAAGGATTAGGTTCTTAACTACGAGCTGAATCCTCTGCACAGGGAGGCTGGGTTTGGAGTTGAAACAGTGAGTTTATACTCCTACCTCTCGTTAATCGTTAAATACACGCGAGGAGCCGTGACAGATGGGCCACGTTCCACATTTGCAGAGCGTATTTCAGAATTAATTGTGCTGACAACATTTTAGAAAGAGCCAGCTCCAGACTCTTTTCTCTTTGGCAACAGTGGCTTCTGGCTGCTGTCAGGCAGATGAACATGTTTGTCTGGGTTTATTATTTTGGGTTTGGCTCACATGCTCACTGTACTGATGACTAGGGGTGTGGGGAAAGCATTACCTACATTCATTAACCAGGCTTCAAATACCTGCAGCCATCAACAGCTTTTTACCTGAGTGCCTGTGGATTTGTGAGGGGGAATAGCTCTGGGACTAGATAAGGAGAGGTGGGAGGGAAGCCTGGAGCAGGATCCACACTGTGTTGTTGTTTGTGGCCAATAGAGATGGCTGTCAGGGATCCAGAGGGCTGAGGTCTGGTCTGCAGAGAATTCCAGCGAGCTTTAGTCTAGACTAAACATTTTGGGATGCACCGAGTCTCTCACTCTTGCTCAGATTCCTCTGCCAGGGTCTAATTGGAGCTGATGATCGCCTGCCATGAGAATTGCAAATTCCATTTCAAAGGTGGCTTTTTTTTGTTTGTTTGTTTGTTTTTGTTTTTTTGGGTTTTTTTTTGTTCTTTTCCTTTTTTAAAAAGCAGTTTACAGGTTTTGGCAAGAGGCTGTTTTTGGCTCTAAAATAACAAGAATGCTTCCAGCATAGATTTAGGCATAACTGTTAATATTCTCCAGATTCCTTCATTGAAAAAACCATGCCAGTTACAAAAAAACAAAAATCCACCCTTCCCTCCAATTTGGCTAGCCAAATTTACTTTCTCTTTGCTTATTTGCAGCCCATAAAAGCTCTTTCCTTCAAGCCTTGAAATGCAGAATGCATTTTTTCATTTTGATTTTGACAGACATCCATTACATGTTTCTCCCACAAAATTTGCATGCTGTGGTGGGATTTCCAAAGCATTCCCCCTCAGCCTCATATTTCTGTGCTTGGAGTCAGCAGGATCAGTGTTAGACTGACTCTGGACACCCTGCAAATCTCCTTCTTGCTTGGACAATTGGTTTTTTGTTTGTTCATTTCTTAAAAAACTTAAATTAATTTTAAAAACTTAATTTTACCTGGATAGACCTTCACTTCATTCTGAGTTTTCAGCATAAATTACTTGTCAGTACAAACAAAAGGAAAATGATCTATATTGTACCAAGATGGATATTAGGAACTGTTAAATATTTTCTTTAATTTTTAAAAGGAGTTCAGATGCATCTTCTCACCCCGTCTTCAGCTTTGTCAGTTACAGGAAGAAACCTTAAGGGCAGATATTTTAATGGTGGCCATTCAATCAAAGGCTTTTTTAAGAAGAGATATCAAAAGCCAATCACTGTTAAAATTAAGGTTTTGGGTTTTCTTATGAGGTTTTTTTTATGTTTCCATAATGCTAATTTAGAAACAAGGAGATCTTGTAAAAGCTGTGAAGTTTGTAATAATGCAATTTAATTAATGTACACTTTCAAATTCTCTTAAAATCAAATCCAGATCCAGAAGTAGCTGCAAGAAAGCTGCAGAATGGGTGAGAAGGTGAAAAACAGCAGCTTTGCAGAGGAAGATGACTTATCACATAGAGATCTTCAGGCTGCTGCCTCAAGAAACAGTGTTTATAAGCATAAGGTAGAGATTGGGTTTGGGATCAGAATAAGGGTCTGACTGGGATGAGATGAAAAGTTTCTGCTTCTCAAAAATCCACCTGAAGCTGGTCAAGGTTTGAGTGCTTGGATTTAATAGTCACCCTTGCATACATTACTGGAATAATCAGATAATTATTATCTTCTTGTTTTGTGGTGAAGTTAATTGCAGTATTATTCCTAAAGTCCTAGCTCAGCTGTCTGGCTGGATGGGAAGAAATGCAGACTCCCAGAAAAAGTCTCCTCACTTACTCATGGTTTTTTATGGTAAAGCCTGTTTTGTGATGAGTCAAGCACTTCTGGCTCCCGTTTTGTGGGATAAAACTCCTGACATACTGTATTCCTCTTGTAGCAGTAGCAGCCCCCTAGAAATCTTGGGAATCTCCAAGTTTATTCCACCTCTCATGAGATTTCTCTGGAGTCCTTGGAGCAACTGAAGCAGATTTCTCTTTGCAGAGAAATCTTCTCCTGGAGGGCCTGCTTTCTGTGCCCTCTCATTCCTTGGAAAGACTTGTGAGGAAGTGACAGCTGACCGACCCTAACAGGATCACAGGAATTGGACTCCTTGATGTTCTTCCTATAGATGAGGGAAATGGTTGAATGTAAGTAAGCACAAAGAAAGAGAGAGAGGCAATTAGGAATGGTAATTCCTCTTGGAGACCGTCACCTGTCAGTCCAGGTGAAAGTCAAGGTAAAAGGTTTTTGTAATTGTTGGTTTTGGGTTTTTTTCTCAAGTCCAAGGCTGATCTTTAAATGAAGCATTTGCAGTCACTTGTAGGAGCTTAAGCCAGTTGTGTGCCCTCTAATTACACCAGCCCAGGAATGGAGATGTTGGGAACAGCAGCAAATACTACAGGAGCTGCCAAGAGTGATTTATTCCAAGCACCCATGCAGAGTCTTAGCCAGTGCTGAAGTCACAATGTATTTCAGCAGTAATTCTTGGACTCTACTCTGTGGTGTTAGTTCAGTCATGGCCTTGTAACAGGCAAAGTGGAAAAAGCTGGAGGAATGCTATGTTAAAACACATAATGCCAGAACTGGAAATACTGGGTTCTTACATTATTGTAAAAATGAGGCTGTAACAGACCTAAAACAAGAACCCAAATAATTTCTTCTCAGATCATAGAAACAATAAAATAAATAAAATTAAATAGCATGGCTCCATTAATCAGTGAATTTGCCTTGATTTGCACCAGCTTAGTGTCACAGCACATTTCTTACACTAAGGCAAGCCGTACCTGGGAGATGTGCAAAGGATTTTTCTCTTAAAGAAAGCTGGGATTTGAAAAAAAGAAGTAATAAAATGTAGAAGAGGCCTTGTGACATGGTTTGAATTTACCTGGCCCACAGACAGCAGCCATAGGTTTGGTTTGTATCCCAGCAGGTCACTGCAGACCACAGCATTTCTGTTAAAATGTGCTCAGATTCATTAAAAGGCAGTGTGCTCACGTAGTGTGTGATCAGTTATCAATTTTAATAGCATTTCTCTACAAAAGTCATAGGGAAAACTGCTGTAGGTGTCCCTGTGGCCTGCTTTGCTCTTTCTTACAATATATTTTATTTGTTTTTACTGTACTTAAACTCATTACCTATTCTAAATTCTTCCCAAATCACAAATGAGGGCATTTTGAGTCATCATCATAAAACCTGAAATAAACTGTAACAGAATTAATCCGCTGATTAGAGAAATGGTTTAAAAATCAATCAACATAATTATTTTAATTAAGTCCATCAAGGATAAAGGTTATTTCTTGGCTCAGGTGATGCCAGTGGTGAACAATCTTACAAGTTATTGTAGCAAGTTCTATCTCTTACATCAGAATAAGTCAGAGTGAGTAATCTCTGTTTTTTCTTTAAATGCTCAGCACATTATTTGTTCACTGTTATCTCTTATTTTATCTCTGTCTTCAGTGTTAGAAATCCTTCAGAGTTTTGCCCTTCATAGAAGCAGGATTAAAAGCCAACAGTGAGATTAAAAAAAAGTACCAGGCAGCCTTTATCCTCTTGGGAAGAGGAATTCCAGTAAGGAGCACTGCATCTCAGAGTATCATAAAGCCTTCCTTGAAACTGCAAAGTTCTAATTTTAAACTACTGCAACTGATGAAGATTTTGGTGCTGTCCCAAGTGATCAGCTCCCCACAGGCTCTTCCTCAGCCTTCCTGCCTGTGCCTTGATTAAATTGATGGATTCTGAAGGGAAGCCTCAGAAAACCACCGTTTTAGCTACATTTATGGCATGGCATTTTTTCAGAAACCAACTGATGGTAATTAACAGAGAGCAGCAGCAGCAGCACTGTGCTTCATTTTCACAGAGTAATAACTCCCTTCAGAAACAGCCCAAATTTAAGGCTGATGACAGCATTATTGTGCAGAAAAATGAACGTGTCAGTTCTCTTCCATCTCTCAGACTGGGAGGGAAATCATTTGGTGCTCACAGCAATCAGGACAGAGTCATTAACATATTAATAGAGAAATAATATTTCCCTGTCTCCGTCCCTGGCTGAGTTTTGATGCCCAGCCTACCCAGGCTCTGGTGGTTGCTGCAGCTGAAGTCCAAATTCAGCCCTGGGGTGTGACCAAGGGGCCCAAGAGTGACAAAATTAGTTAGAAAATCAAAAAAACTAGTGAGACCTGAAGAGGCCACTGCTGTTTTGTGTTCCTGGGCTGCAGGATTCAAACAACAAGGGAGAGGAGTGAAAGAATGGATAAACTTGAGGTTGCCTGCCTAGTCTGGGAAGGATAAATAATTGGAATCCAAGTGATAAAGTGATCAAATGCTTCCTTTTTGGTGCTTTCATCCTTTCACAGGTGATGAGAATAAAGACATACCTGAGAACCTACAAGGGGCTTTGACCAGATGCTGACTGAACATCTGTGGGATGTTGAGGAGCTGACTTCAGCACCGTGTAATGAAAGGAAATGCTGAGGTTAGGGTTTCTCATGGGATTTTTAGGTGGTTACTGGCCATGTCTGTACCACTGTGA